ACATATCACCCCCCCCCCACACACGCGTCTGTGATCCCCCCCCCCCTTGTACAATTTTCTAGTGAAACCCTCCTTTTATAAAATAAGTAAAATAAAAATGCTCTTATTTAAATTAAATTTTATGCATTTTCTTTTTATGCCTGACCCCCTCCCCCCCCCCTCCCCCGTCATCTAAACTGGTAGACGCTGGAGACAAACCACTCTGCACCAATGTCCAATATGTCATTTTCACCAGAGCCCGTTCTCTCTATAGATAGATGTCGTGTAGTTCACGTACTTTGGGGGACGATATGTTGTCCGCTAGATGTCTCATGCTATATTCTTATCTGATAGACAGATAATTTTTCCGTACACTTGACGACCAATATAGGAGACGTCATTTTGTCGACAAATGTAGTTTATGGAAGGAACGGCCTCAACATGAACGGGGGATTCTTTTCCAACAAAAAAGGTCTCAAAACATTTTTATATGGTTTACCATTTAATCTTTAACCAATTCTGAACTCCGAAAAATTTAAAACGTAATCTACAAAAATTACCCCCCCCCCATACCCTTCCATCCCTTACTAACCAAACCATTCTATGGGTTAGTTATCGAAAAATCAAACCCCATGAGTCCAGAGTTCCTCAAATAGTAGTCACCGCCACCCAAATCTGTTTTGCGGCAAGCGCGCTCCTCAATTGGTAATCTCCACCACCTCAATTAGTAATCACCGTAAAATTTAGTTTTCTGTGATTTGAATTTAATGCACTTTTAACACAATTTTCGACATCTATCGGGATTTTATGGCATCTTTATTGACTTAGACTAAATTTTCAAATTATTTTCAGATTTGTTTGGTCAACAAAAACTGAGAATCAAGGCACAGTTTATTTTAGCCGTCTCTTAGATCCAATTCGCCACTTTAATGACTGCATTTCATTATTGGCATCAAGATACTAAAAGGTTGGGCTGCCTGTTTACTAAAAATTATCTCATCCCACCCAAAGTAATATCCATCTCCATTTAAAAGATATTTTCAAAAAACCTTTACTGTGTTTAGATTTTTGCATTCGCCAACTCGAGTTCAACATCTACAATAAAACTAATTATATGCATAGAAAGTACTTAAAATTTATTAAAAATTATCTCATCCCGCGTAAAGTAATATCCATCTCCATTTAAAAGATATTTTCAAAAAACCTTTACAGTGTTTAGATTTTTGTATTCGCCTACTCGATTTCAACATCTACAACAAAACTAATTATATGCATAGAAAGAACATAAAATTTTGAAAAATTAGTCTCATCACACCCACTACTGAAAATGAAGTATTTAGTCCATTAATAATGGGTTAAAGTTTCCTCTCTCTATAAGGAGTTTAGAACAACATTCAGAGGAAAATGCCGCAAACATTCTTAAAGCGAAACTTGAAACTAAAAAACGTAATATATTTCTAGCACTTAGTGTGGCATATTTATTGATTTATTTTCGAAACTAAGGAGCAATAAAGAAAGCTTTAACAATATTGTACACCATAGGGCCATTAAAAGAGGTCAATATGGTCTTATTTCTAAGAAATAAACGATTTAATGTTATGCTTTTTTGGGCTGATTACTATTTGAGGTGGTGGAGATTGCCAATTGAGGAGCGCGCTTGCCGCAAAACAGAATTGGGTGGCGGTGATTACTATTTGAGGAACTCTGGACTCCCTCCCTCTCTCCGCCCACCCTGTACTCATTCATTGCATTTTTATACCTTTATTTTAACTATTCATACTGTGCCAAGATAAATATTACTGGATATTTAAAAAAAAGGAATTGTACAAGGCAAAAACATGTGTTTTATTTTTTAAATAAACATTTTAGGATTTCATTCTTAAGAATAATCAGAAAACTCCCCATTGTGCCTTTGGCGAATCACAGTAATTTATTCATTTGTTACTAAGTTAAAAAATAATAAATCATATTGTTTTTTAATCTAACAGTTTTATACCGGTCCCATAATAAATAGAAAAAGAATTGAGTCTTTGTAACAAACTCTGATTTTCTAATACGTATATTTTTTCCACCTGATGGTTTAAACCTTTAATATATCAAACTTAGATTTGATTAATTAATAGTTTAAGGTCTACAGTTTTGGGTTGCAAAGATATAGGGACTGTGAGGTAATTTGACTCAATTCCTTTGAAAATGATTCAGTGATTTCAGTTGTTTTTTATTTCTCCAACATAATCATAACTTTTTATTATTTTTGAAATAGAAAAATCTGACTTATTTTTTTTTTTTCTGGTTCACCAGACCAGCTGATGTACTGGTTCACCAGACTCTGATGTACTGGTTCCCCAGACCAGCTGATGTACTGGCTCACCAGACCAGCTGATGTACTGGTTCACTAGACCAGCTGATGTACTGGTTCACCAGACCAGCTGATGTACTGGTTCACCAGACCAGCTGAATTGTACTGGTTCACCAGACCAACTGATGTACTGGTTTACCAGATCAGCTGATGTACTGGTTCACCAGACCAGCTGACTTGTACTGGTTCACCAGACCAGCTGACTTGTGCTGGTTCACCAGACCAACTGATGTACTGGTTAACCAGACCAGCTGATGTACTGGTTCACCAGACCAGCTGAATTATACTGGTTCACCAGACCAGCTGATGTACTGGTTCACCAGACCAGCTGATGTACTGGTTCACCAGACCAGCTGAATTGTACTGGTTCACCAGACCAGCTGATTTAATGGTTCATCAGACCAGCTGCAGTGTACTGGTTCATCAGACCAGTTTATATACTGGTTCACCAGACCAGCTGATGTACTGGTTCACCAGACCAGCTCAATTGTATTGGTTCACCAGACCAGCTGAAAAAAAACGGTTTTAAATTAATCCTTAACTGTCAGAATAATATTTCTAATTTTGATTAAATTGGATAAATTAATTCGGAAAATCTAAAAAATTATTTCAAAACATTCAAATTGGACAAATGGTTCTCAAAACTTGATATATCATTAAATATAATTGGTTAAATGTAGACTTAAATTCAGCAGAATTATAAATTTTAAAAAAATTCAACTCATTTTTCTTAGAGCAAAGACGACCTTAAACTTGAATCCAGTATTTTAGTTGCGTATTAAATGATTTAGCGTTGAAAGCAACAAGTTTACAGATTAGCGGAGTGTAAATATCGGGGGGAAAAAACAGTATAAATTCCGTACAGTCGTCTCTGAAGTCCCATCCATTGTGAGTAACACTGTACCTGTACATTAAACTTGTATTTTCGTCTGGGTGTTTGTTTGTTTGTCTGTCAGTTTGTTCGTATTTCTCCAATAAGCGTTTAACCGGTTAAACTGATCACACTCCACTGGACGAACAGAAGGTCAATAGTAATACAAAATTACTGGTTCGAGTTGGTGACCTCGTCCCTCTTCTAAGATTTATTTAATGCCCAAGTATAAAAGAAACAAGTCTGACGTGGCACAAGTATAAAAAAATGCTGTTTGCATATATATATATATCTGTATATACATATGTATATATGTATACATATATGTATATATATATACATATATATATATGCATATATATATACATATATATATACATTCTCGTTATTTTAAATTCAAATTTTAAATTTGTATCTAACATGAGAAAAAATGAAATTTTGCTACAAATACTGATTTGCTAATTCCTAAATTTTTTGCAATCTGATGTCGTAGACCTTTCATGTTCCAAAATATAATTTCTGTTAGATAGATAGTCTAAAGGATCAAAAGTTTACACCACCAGATTACAAAGACATAGGGAATTGACAGTTTGAGTTTGTGGCAAAACTCGATTCCTTTACGTGGATTTGACAATTTTGCATGAAATAAAAAATTGATTTTTTCATAAAATATCAAAGCTTTATTAAACATAAGAAAACTAAAGGGGACCCTAATAGGGAAAAATAAATAATAATTAGCCAATGTCCGAATTTAATGAATTTGAGCAGAGGCTTAAATCTGCCAAAAACCGGTTTCATTTGAGCGCCGGCTTAAATCTTTAAAAAAATGAATACAATTTTAAGTGGAACCAACCATATTTGAGCCGCGGCTTAAATTTAAGCCGTGACTCAAATTCTTTAAATTCCGCTTCAATTTTCTTAATTTTTTTCTACAAACAGCTTGCTTACGATCAAAATTCATGTACATGTAGAAACTGAATTTTAAAAACATCTTATAACAATTAAGTACTATTGAATATATATTTCCGCAGCGCTCGGCAACATGGCTTAACCTATAAAGTATCAAAAAAAACTTTTTAAAAAACTTTAGTTCAGCGCTATCTACCCATATCAGATATCCTAGAGGCCGCATTTAAAGAATATTTAAGCCGCGGTTTAAATTTAAGCCACGGCTCAAATTTTGTTGGTTCTACTTAAATTTGTATAAAATTTTTCAAGATTTAAGCCGGCGCTCAATTGAAACCGGTTTTCGGGGGATTTTAGACGCGGCTTAAATTCATGAAATTCGGACACTGGACTGTCAAAACATTTTAATATTTGATCAGTTGTTGTCCGAAATATATGTTCTCAATACATCACATGTGTTTCTTTGTATAAGCAAACAATGTTTACACATAGAGGTAATATTTAGTCTACAATAGTCAGCAGAAATTATACTTTAATAAAACAAGTTATACTCTGATATTTTTTACATTATAATGATTTTAAAAATAGCATTTTAATTGGACGAAACAAAAACATAGTTTCTTGTGCTTTTAAGTTGGTCTTATATGATGAATTGCGATCAGAGCTGAAAACTTTTGAATCGAAGACCCTTAATACCGATCGCTTAATTTGAATATCCGCTGTGGACACTTTTAATTTCTGCTTATTCCGCTCTATTCTCCTCTTTTTAATATTCCGACTGAATTCCGCTGTGTGAATTAAGTTGAACCGCTTCTCAATTTAGCTAGTTCAGCTTTTTGTCGCTGTTAATAAAATTTGGACCCTGATCAACTTTTTTTTAGAGTTTGAACATAATGCCGGCTGGACGGTTGTTCATTCTATTTCTTCTGAACACAATTATAAATATACATTTAAGCATTTCTTTTCAATTATTAAACCAGGTATAAATCTATATTTTTGCCTACTGTTATTGGTATTTTTTTAAATAATTAATAAAATATCATTTATGCCATTTCTTCTTCTTTATTTCTCTACAAAATAAAAATGAACCAAATTTTTTAACAGCTTCTGTAAACGATGAAAAACTTACAGAAATTAGAAAATTGTTATAATTGTTATAATTTATAATAAAATTTTAATAAATTATGCATTTAAGATATCAAAATAGGATCCTTAATCTAAAACTAATTTTTGTTTTTTAAAATCGATGAAAAAATATTTAACAGTTAATGGAGATGAAAGTCAGCCAGAAATGTAAAGCTGTGCAGCCTACGACAGAATGCAGTCTCAAAAAGGGTCAGAATCACAAGTTTAGAAAAAGATAGAAAAGGGTAGTGAATACAAGGATAGAAAAGGGTAGTGAATACAAGGATAGAAAAGGACAGAGAATACAAGGATAGAAAAGGGTAGAGAATACAAGGATAGAAAAGGGTAGAGAATACAAGGATAGAAAAGGATAGAAGGGTAGAGAATACAAGGATAGAAAAGGATAGAGAATACAAGGATAGAAAAGGGTATAGAGAATACAAGGATAGAAAAGGGTAGAGAATACAAGGATAGAAAAGGGTAGAGAATACAAGGATAGAAAAGGGTAGAGAATACAAGGATATAAAAGGGTAGAGAATACAAGGATATAAAAGGGTAGAGAGAATACAAGGATAGAAAAGAGTAGAGAATACAAGGATAGAAAAGGGTAGAGAATACAAGGATATAAAAGGATAGAGAATACAAGGATAGAAAAGGATAGAGAATACAAGGATAGAAAAGGATAGAGAATACAAGGATAGAAAAGAGTAGAGAATACAAGGATAGAAAAGGATAGAGAATACAAGGATAGCAAAGGATAGAGAATACAAGGCTAGAAAAGGATAGAGAATACAAGGATAGAAAAGGACAGAGAATACAAGAATAGAAAAGGATAGAGAATACATGGATAGAAAAGGGTAGAGAATACAAGGATAGAAAAGGGTAGAGAATACAAGGATAGAAAAGTTTAACCGAATTAATATAATAAGAAGTTGATGACTGAACAGAACATATAAAGTTTGACAACTTCCAGTCTGATGAAGAAATAGAAAGAATAAAAAGGAAAAGAATTCCTTTTGGTCGATGTGGGGAGAAATTCTCCCAAGGGGGCATTTTTCCTGCTAACTGCACATTTAGGTCAGGACATTTTTACTTTTTAGTTTTAACTCCAGTAATATCAAATACTTGGCGAAAATAAATGAACCTTATAGAAATCTGAGAAATTTTATAACATCAGGTTTAAAGATGTATGGATAATTTTAATATGTTTAAACTTGTTAATATAGTTTTGAAACTGGTTTTGTAACTGATTTCATAACTGTTTTGAAGGATGGTTTTGAAACTGGGTTTGAACTGGTTTCATAACTGGTTTGAGAACTTTTTTTTGAACTGGTTTTATAACTGTTTTATAACTAGTTTGAGAGCTTGTTTTGAAACTGATTTTAAAACTGGTTCACATAACTGGTTTGAGAACTTGTTTTGAAACTGTTTTTGAAACTGGTTTGAGAAGTTGTTTTGAAACTGGTTATGTAACTGGTTTCAGAACTAGTTTGAGAACTGGTTTTGAAACTGGCTTTGAACCTTTTATAAAACTGGTTTTGGACTGGTTTTGAAAACGGTTTTCGAACTGGTTTTAAAACTGGTTTTAAACTGGTTTTTGAAACTTTTTTAAAACTGATTTAAATGTGCCTGAAAATGGGGCTGGTTTTCATTCCAACTATTTTATCTAGAGCTGATTGTTGTTCGGCGAGGGGTTGGTGTGCTAAAGGTCCTGAATCCTGCCTCTGTCCTAAGTGTGTTTACTATGAATGGGAGGAAGGTAGTCATGTTTATGAAATGCAGGGGACTAACACTTGGCCCATTTCTAACACTGAGTGTTAGAAATGGGCACAAATTGAAAGACCGGGGTTTTAGGATCCCGGCCTATATCCAGAGTAAAAGTCGATAGTAAAAACTATAACCAACATTTTATTAAGCATCATGTGGACAACAATTCCGAATTTTCAATTATTTTCTTATATAAAAATCATAAAAGGAGTTCTTTTTATATTAAAACCTTTGACCATTTCAATGTCAGGTTTTCCATTTTCGAACATATCCTGAATTTGAATCATTATCACGTTTTCGAGACAAAAGTCACTTTTCTGTTTTTGAGTGTAATCCGAAATTCAAAACAAAACTCACTTCCATAACTTACAAAATAAATCACTAAAAGTAAAAATTTTACCGTGCAAAATCCGAACCCTCTATTATGTAGGAAGTTTTTCAATATACAAGAAATGTCGCGCGAAAGTAAAATATGTATATTTGGATAAGAAAATTTATTAAAGTTTTAAGTGATCTGGAGTGATCTGGAGGTATATTCGATTCACAACAGTATCCTTCAAAGTTTTGTTTTATCAAGAATAAATGAGATATCCATGAGTGTAATGTAAATGAAGATATAACAAAATCTGATTTACAAGCACATTTTGTAATTTTTAGCTGGTTGGAAGATTGTCGTTACTTTGTATTATAATTCAACTTTTTGCATAAATTAAATCAAAGATAAAGAACATCACAATCAATAATAAAGTTTGGAAGGTAGTAGTCGGTGGCCGAATTTAAAGAATTTGAGCGGCGGTTTAAATTTAAGCCGCGGCTTAAACATGGTTGGTTCCACCTAAAATTGTATCAAATGTTAAAAGATTTAAGCCGGCGCTTAATTTAAACCGGGTTTTGGCGGATTTAAACCGCAGCTCAAATTCTTTAAATTCCATCTCGGGTCAGATAAAAAAAAATACTTTTATGAAACTATTGTTTACTTTATCATTCTTTCTCACTTCACCGTGAATTTCATAATAAACGTGCTATAAAGTAATCATTATGCTAAAAAGTTAAATTAACTGTACATTATAGCACGTGTGCTATAAATACAGTTTTGATTGGTTCACGGATTTTCTCCAAAAAAGTTAGGATATTTCTAAAATATGTTTTTCAATTGAAATGAAAATAAAATTGAAATCAACTTTTTATTTTTATTTCTGCTTTGTTTCAAAGCTTATCTGATTTAGAAAAAGCCATTGAAATAATAACTACACAAACGTTTCATAAAATTACCTATAACACTATTACTTTGGCACGACGTGCTAAAAAGTTGTTGGTTCTAAATTTTCTCTATATCTCGAAAGTTCTCGCCTTTTTTTTGATTATATTTTTTAGAAAAATAATTTATTTAAAAATATTAATTATTTTTGAAATGACCTCTTGAAATTTCGAATCTAATTCATTAAAAAAAATTTACTATTTGCCACTTTTTTATAAATTCCTAATTAATTTGTAGCGAGAGCCCATCTTCCTGGAAATCCAGTTGTACAGCATACTGAAGAGGAGCAGGGTGAAGAACTCCTATATGATTACACACAATACAAATTAGAACCTAGGGTAAACCATAGTAATTCCCACTTCTGATTCAATGAGAACCAAAAAAAAATTGGAATGATGTGGTTTAAAAGCAAACTATAACAAAATCATCCAAACTCATTCAAATTCGTTTCGAAGAAAATAAATTAATTTTCTAGGATGTTTTTGACTGTTTCTTTGATTTTGGCGGGAAACCCCCTCATACATGTGTCAATCAGTGTGAACTGTGTGCAAGTNTCGCCCCAATCTAATATTTCAGATAAGTTGTAAAGAGCATATTGTAATTGTTGTTTTCTCTACTATAAATAACTTCAGAAATAGGTATTAAAGAAAAAATTGAATGTTAAAAAAATTTAAAATTCTTTAATTCTAATGATGCAGACAGATAATTCGAGAGACTTGGGGTGGTAAAAGTTACTTAAGTAAGTTCAACGCTAGTTTAATGTTTGTAGTTGGATCCTATCCTGATAAAAATACACAGGATATGCTTCTTCAAGAGTCTTTTAGGTACATACAATATGAAAAAAATATCAATGGTACATTAATTTTTAGCAATAATATTAGTTTTTTTGTGATATTATTTTTTTTGTTTGGTTGTATTATTTTTTGTGAAAATAGTTTTTAAGTGGTGTTTAGTGATTTTTTTATCTTTAGTTTCCGATGATTTTGATTTTCTTTTCGTAGTTTTTATGTTATTCGTGATTTTGCTTGTTTATTGTTTGGTGGTAATAACACAAATGTTGTTTGGTGGTAATAACACAAATGTGTTTGGTGCAGTTTTTTTCTGTTTGTTTATTCATGATTTATTTATTATTATTCATTATTCTTAATTGATTGTGTTTGTAGCAATTTAGTCGTTATATTTGTTAAAGAATTAAGATATTCCTATTCACAACGGTACTCTTCAAAATAAAATTTGAACTTTTTCAAGCCGAGTATGCATGAAATATCCGTACTTTTCTTTTAGAATTTTTAATTGTGGTTTCTCTTTAGAGTGATTTTTAGATATCTTTCACATAGTAGATAAATGTAAGATTTTACCTTTTCTCAACCCTTTCCTGCAAATAATTTTACCTTTTTACTGTTGCTCTGAAAATCGGCCAAATCGTTTACAAATGTTGGAGGATTTTTGTTTTAAAACTTTGCAGTTTCAACAAAAAATTCCAAATAATTTGGTATTTTTTTCTAATTTTGACGGTCCAGAGGTAATGTGAGTCCCCACAAAAATATCAGTTACAAAAAAAAACAAATAAACAGAAATACAAGCAAAGTATATATAAGAAATATATTTGAAGGTATGAGGATATCCTACAAGGTTTCGTAAAAGAAGAATATAATTTACTCAGCTGGAAATCTATCAGTTGGATTCATTGGACCAGAGCAAACTGTGCAAAGGTAAAAAGAAAATAATATTAAAGGGACTGTAAGCATACTTTAAAGAGACCTTCCGAGGGGTATCCGATTCACAACGTGACCCTTTAACCCTTTACTTCAGGTTCCATGGTTGGTTAAATCTGATGATGATATGGTGAATAATATTGAGATGCTAGCGGAGTATATCAACAAAACCGACAACCTGGAGTAGGAAAATTTACAACTTTTACAATTGATTCTTTATCACAAACCTTGGATATTTCAATCCTAGATTACTTGATCCAACACAATTTATAGTTTGAAATATCTCAGGTCTACGACATCATACGAGATATAGGGATTTAGAAAATCAGAGTTTGTGGCCAAAACTCAAATCCTTTTGTTTTCGTTTTCAAATAATTGTTTGTTTTAGGATGAAGATTCATTGTAAATTAAATAGCAACCATGTTTACAGAGCTGGACAGAAAACAACTAAATGGGTTAGTAAACCTTTTATTCCTTTTTATCAATATAAATATACTTTGCAAAATTTAAAAATTCATGGTACTTTATGGTACTTTCTTGAATATTAATGTAAGGTTAAATTTATCAGCTTCTTATTGTCTGTTTGATTTCTTCAATTGACACTCTGATTAATTACATTTATGGTACTTTCTTGAATGTTAATGTAAGGTTAAACTAATCTGCAGATTGAAGAGATCAAACATTGATCTTGATATCAAAGAGTTCCAGCTCTGAATTATGTTAGGATGTATCTATTGAAGAATACAGGTTTGCTGAATACCCCCCTAGCTGCTGGGGAGCTCTGTACTTCTTCAATAATATTATCAGGGATAATTTATTACAGGTTTAAGATATTTTCTGGTTAAATACAAATTACCAAAAAAATGCTAAATCAAAATCTTTAATTTATTTTTTCTTCCTAATATTAAAAAATAATTGAGAAGGTTTTATCAATTATTAGATTATGAATAAAGAGGAATTATTTTTATTTCTTAAAAGAGAATTTAATAAAAAAAACATCTACGGCTCTCTACAGAAACCTACAGAGTTTTAAAACAAGGATTCTTCTTCTCTTTCATTTTTGCAAATAAATAAAAAGTCAATTACCATTTCTAAAAGAAAAATAGTGTAAATCTGTTTCGTTCGATTTAATTTCCAGTATCATCGATGCTTTTTCAAGAATATTCTCTTTCATAATTTTTTATTTATGATTTTAAGAAAAACTAAAAACAGAGTTTTAGACTTTTGAGAAAAGTGACAAAAAAGTTTTTCGACTTGATGATGTTTTTATTACGGGAATCCTTGCAAATGCTTCTAATATAAATCACAGGTACAATTTTACCTTATTTTTGGGAAAATTCTTTGTCATTTCACATTTCACATTTCACATTTCACATTTCACATTTCACATATTAATTGTAAACTGCAAGAATTGCATTTTGTTTTGTTTTAAGCCATACCTTTACAAACATTTCGGAAAATAAGATTCAGGTCTAAAATGTCATTGAGACTAATTTATCTCTCGAGTTTTATTTTCATTGTGCATAACTAATCAAAGTCTAGTCTAAGATCGGTTTAATTTTCGTTGAGCATAACTACTTAAGTCGAGTCTGAGAGCTGGCAGTTGTCGATTACGTGACTGAAGCTGTCGTCATAAGTTGGGTCTAATATTGAGCCTTAAAGGGAGTGTTCTCGAAAAATGAAAGAGGGTATAGGCTTAATGCGATAAAAAAGCGCTTTTGATCGCTACTAATTTTACTTTTATCTGTTGCGTCTATAAGGAGAAAATTGTTAAAGACGTCTCATAACGAATAACTTAGCGCCCATACAAATTCAGAAAATTGCAACATACAACTTAAACCGTTAAAAATCAATTTGATTTTAAACAAATAATTCAGATATTACAACCTATAGTCATCGATTATCTTTCGCCACATTTGTATATAGTTTATAATTTAAAATATTTAATTTTTTTAGAAAACGTTTTAACGGATTTCGAAAAATGTGAGTGGTCCGCGGCATTCTTAGATAGTTGCGCAAGCGACAAGAGAAATAATCAAATTCAAAACAAATTAATTTAAAAATATTATAAAATATAAACTATTTACAAATGTGGCGAAAGATAATAGATGACTATAGGTTGTAATATCTGAATGATTTGTTTGAAATTAAATTGATTTTTTACGGTCTAAGTCGTGTGTTGCAATTTTCTGAATTTGTATGGGCGCTAAGTTATTCGATATGAGACGTCTTTAACAATTTTCTCCTTATAAACGCAACAGATAGAAGTAAGATTAGTAGCGATCAAAAGCGCTTTTTTATCGCATTAAGCCTATATCCCCTTTCATTTTTCGCGAACACTCCCTTTAAACCTGGGTCAAGGAATCAAGACTCGCGCCAAAGTTTTTAAATCGTGGTGTTCTAGAACAATATCAAGAAACGCTCTTACTGTAAACAAATTTTTTTTACCAATTAGGAGCGAACACAAATATATTTAGCAAATGTGGAAAACTAAATGTTAGTCTCGTATCAAAGAGTATTCGATATGTCGAATTATCCTTTGCTATCATCTTGAGAGGTCGAACTCAAAGTTAGAACAGTGTACAACCCAATGTTCTTTATTAAGGTGGGTTACTCTCGATGCGCTCCAATGTACGGAAAACATCGTTTCTTTAGCATTGATAGATAGAATCCTCATTTGCCGTCACTGACTATAGAGGCGAGAGCGACGTCATGTGAGGATTCTATCTATCTATACTAAGGACACGACATTTTCCGTACATTTGAGCGCATCTAGAGTAACCAACCTTAATAAAACACCTTGGTACCATCTCTTTCATAATAACATTTGTCTTTAAATTTGGGCATTGTATGTCTCTAAAGTGTAAAAATTAAAGTGTTTTTTCCGTTTTTTAGTAATTTGCTCCACAAAAGAATTACTTTAAAATGTTCTAAGTTTAATGATATGGCCCAGTCAAAAATATGTATCATGTTTAAAACAAAGGTACTGGATTTCGGCCACAAACTCTGATTTTCTATTCCTTATATTTTTGCAACCCGATGTTCTAGACCTTAGATATTTCAAACTATGAATTCTGTTAGAGTAAATAGTCTAAGTCTAAATATTAAAGACTAACACCATCAGGTTACATGGAAAAAGGGTTTAGGAATTTGAGATTGTGTCAAAATTGGTACGAATGTTTTAAGTAAATATTTTTAAGACGATAAGAAAAAATTTGGTTCAAAATTGAGGCTCTCGTATTAACTAAAAGAATATTCATCCAATAATTTTTTTAGAAATATTGGATCTGTGATATCCACATATTCAGGCTGGCCCATTGATCTTCTAGTTTCACAGGAAATTTGGTAAATCTCAATAATTCGTGAAAAAACCTTTTAATTTTTAATGAATAATCCCTTTAATTTATATTTTTTGTGAATAATCCCTTTAATTTATATTTTTGTGAATAATCCATTTAACTTGTATTTTTTGTGCATTATCCCTTTAATTTATGTTTTTTGTGAATTATCCCTTCAATTTATATCTTTGTGAATAATCCATTTAACTTGTATTTTTTGTGCATTATCCCTTTAATTTACATTTTTTGTGAATATTCACTTTAACTTATATTTTTCGTGAATTATCCCTTCAATTTATATCTTTGTGAATAATCCATTTAACTTGTATTTTTTGTGCATTATCCCTTTAATTTATATTTTTTGTGAATAATCCCTTTAATATATATTTTTTGTGAATAATCCCTTTAATTTATATTTTTTATGAATAACCCCTTTAATTTATAACTTTGTGAATAATCCCTTTAATTTATATTTTTTTGTGAAAATCAATTTATTTTTTGTGAATAATCCCTTTAATTTAGATTTTTGTGAATAATCCCTTTAATTTATATTTTTATGAATAACCCAAAGATTCATAACTTTGTGAATAATCCATTTAACTTGTATTTTTTGTGAATTATCCTTCTAATTTATATTTTTTGCGAATAATCCATTTTATTTATATTTTTTGTGAATAATCCCTTCAATTTACATTTTTTGTGAATAATCCCTTTAACTTATATTTTTTGTGAAAAATCCCTTCAATTTATATCTTTGTGAATAATCCCATTAACTTGTATTTTTTGTGCATTATCCCTTTAATTTATATCTTTTGTGAATAATCCCTTTAATTTATATTTTTTGTGAATAATCCCTTTAATTTATATCTTTTGTGAATAATCCCTTCAATTACATTTTCTGTGAATAATCCCTTTAATTTTTTTTTCTGCGAATTATTCCTTTTATTTATATTTTTTGTCAATAATCCCTTCAATTACATTTTCTGTGAATAATCCCTATAATTTATATTTTTTGTAAATAATCCCTTTAACTTATATTTTCTGTGAATGATCCCTATATTTTTTGTGAATAATCCCTTTAATTTATATTTTCTGTGAATAATTCCTTTTATTTATATTTTTTGTGAATAATCCCTTTAACTTATATTTTCTGTGAATGATCCCTTTATTTTTTGCGAATAATCCCTCTAATTTATATTTTTTTTTAATAATCCTTTTAATTTATATATGAAGTTTCTTTATATTAATAAATATTACTATTTTTATTCAGGTTTGGTCATTTCTATCCAATCAATGAAGAAACTGATAAAGCAAGATATTGGGCAGGAAGGATGCTGACCCTATAAAGGGATTGTTTGCATAATTTCAAGTTATCTTTCGTTTAAAGAGCTAATTACTATTGCTCAAACCACGTTATATCCAGGTTTACTTAAATAGGCTCTTTAACAGACATCCTAAATAGAATACCAAATATGCCTTAATTGATCAAATAAATATAAATAAGTTTTTAGAAAGAATTAATATTGAAAGATACATGGTTTGCTCTAGTATAGAATTAAGCTTAAAAAGTGTCTAAAGGACTTGTATCATGTATGTATATATTATATATATTATGTATATTTAGCTTTGTGTTTGTGTGTTCGATCATAACTCCTAAACCCCTTGACTAATTTGCCCTAAATTTTAATTTGAATACTTGTAAGAATCAGAGGAATGTTCTGAGCTTGGTTTGAAATTTCTAAATTGAGTAGATTTACTTGAATAGGGAAAGTTTAGTTTTCCTAGCAAAGCTGGGTTCCCAAAGCTGAAAAGCGTGTTCAATCCCTTATATAGATTGATATAAGAGATGTTAACACGTATGTAGAGTAACAACCAGAAAACTCTGAAATATGAAGACAACTTTCATAATCAAGTTATAATTTTAAAAAGTCTGATCAGCATCAGACATGAACAATTGTGCAGTATAAACAGACCAATGCTTCAAAAAGTAGTGATACAATAAGTGTCTTAAAATAACTATTTGTTTTGTAACAACATTAAATTTGTATTAATACACTGAAATATTACTATAATGTCGTCTTCCTATTACATTGTTTTCTGATTATAACTGACATACAGTGTATTTATAAATAAGTAAATAAAAATAATGTTAATATCTGGCAACATACTTGATTTTTCATTATAATCAATAAGTCCTACATAAAAGGGATTGTAGACGACATTTCAAGTGACGACCTGATGGCATGAGCGATTCACCGCGATGCCCGTAAATTACGTAATTTAAAGTGACAATCCGTTAACACAAGGCATTTACATGAGACATTTATATTTATTTATTAGAAATATGTATCAAAGATAGGACATTTCATAGATAAGACATTTCAGAGATAAGAAATTTCAGAGATAGGACATTTCATAGAAGAGACATTTCAAAGATTGGACATTTCATAGAAGAGACATTTCAAAGATAGGACATTTCATAGAAAAAACATTTCAAAGATAGGACATTTCATAGAAAAGACATTTCAAAGATATGACATTTCATAGATAAGACATTTCAAAGATAGGACATTTCATAGATAGGACATTTCATAGATAAGATATTTCAAAGATAGCATATTTCATTTTTGAAACATTTTTTAAACTTCTGCACTTCTGATTCAGAAACATAAATGTTTTACATTATCCTTCTTCCAAAGTTCTTCATCTCTCACCCCCTCTCCCTTCCTCTTTTCTCAAATTTTCCTCCTTCCCCCCCCCCCCCCGCCCCAACACTCCCCTCTCCCTTCTATGGATAATATATCTCATCTCTATGAGAACAAACTATAAACTTTATAACCATTTTTCTTTATTAACTTTTAAGTCTTTTGAATTAAAATTTCAAAGAATGTTAAAAAAAACTTTACAATTTTTATAAACAAATAACGTCTAAGCCTTTATACTGTTCTAAGAATTCTAAATATAAAAGTAAAAAAATTGTAAATTTTCCACATTAACCCTTTCCCTGTGGGGGGGGGTCTCCCCACCCTCTGTGGTTTTTATTGCATAACTTTAAAACGGCTTTTAACTAAAGCGCTCAAACTTCTTCCGGTTTCCAACTTCATAAATGAAGAGAAATAATAGCGTAGGGCAAATAGATTCTAGTACAGTAGATGGCAACATAGAATTTGTACACTCTCAGTACAGCTGTATTCTGACGTCACAAGTGTCAACTCTGTTTTTGTGTCCGACAAAATTATTAATAATATAGTGATAATTTTAGAATAAAGTGCTTATCTTACAGTAAAATAAGTGAAACTTTATGTATTCTTTATTTTCTTTTTTTACGCCTTTATATTTAATCTTTGAAACCATGTCAACTAACGGGAGAAAATTTCGTTTTCCTTATTATATTTGACACTTGTGACGTCGTGTATAATTGGTTCATTTCTCTGTTGCCACCTTTTGTACTTGATAATCTATTTGGGGTAGGGTAGAGAACGGCCAAACGGCTGGTCGATGTTTAAAAGTCTTAAGTTAATTAATATCTAAAATTTACGTGTGTAAACATGTGCCAAATGTCAATATTTTTAACAATATTTCAATCTACTTCTAATTTTTAAAAAGCGGTCTTGAACAATTGGACTTAGGGACGTGTCATACTCTGCTATCTCAAATATAATGAAAAATCTTAGGGGAGTGGGAAATCATCCTTACCTATATAAGCCAAAAAAAACATAGCCCAACCGGGAAACGGTTAATTAACAATAATTGATTTTAATGCAATTCACTAGTTAAATATACTACAGTTCATGTTTTATGCATAAAATAGATATGAATTAATCCAATCAAAAATTTGATTTGTTCAGGTTTTTTTTTCTTTTTCCACTAATGTTTGCAAAAATAAAAAAAAACTCCTTTGTTTATATCAAGAGCTTCTACATTGTATGAAAGATTATGACAGACAAAACTTTGATTATGAACAAAAAATTGTCGAATTCCTATAATGAAACGATTTTTGGCCTTTTATCAATAAATGTATTAAATAAAAAAGTTGACAATTCTTAGCTTTATGGCATCTTTACTTTGTGTTACTTTACTTTTTTATTTTTATTTATAGTCAATTTGTAGTCAATAAGTATTTATAGTCAATAAGTATTTATAGTCAATAGATGTATTCTCAGAGTCAGAGAAATTTTCATCTTACAGAAAAACATTTTCTAAACTTGTCAAAATTGATAATCGTATGTGGCTGAGAAATGGGCCGGCTGTTTTATTTTTAATGCAGAGATTTTTGATAAAACATTAAGTGAAAAGTCAGAATATTATAATGTAATTTAAGCATTACTTCGTTAGCTCGGAGCTTCTATAGTTTTGATTTTACTCACAATTATAAGAGAAACAAACTTATATCAGTTTTACAAATAAGCAATTCTAAACATTTTTCTTATTCTCAATTCGAAGACTGCCAATTTTTTCATGTATTTTAAATTCCCTGTAGGTGAAAACGAGCTTTTTTGTTTGTCAAAACATAAGTGAAAAATAAAAATAGTATATTCAAGGTAAGATATTTTTAATCTTCAGATCGTTATATATAAAGAGTTGGGAAGTGTCATACTTCAGTTACTCAAACTTTTCGAGTAACTTAGTGTATACTTAAACAAAGTTAATTTACATTATTATTTTCAAATAAGAAAGAAGAGCAGATCTAATTTTTATTCTTTAACAAACATTTCTTTAACATTTTAACGGTACAAAAATGATAATTTAACAACAATCATATTGTGAAGAAAAAAGACTGCTCCCGACATGAAAGATAAGCTAGCAATGTGATGATTTAGTATTCAATTTCATGAAAATGTAAACACGTTTCACTTTTCTTAAAACTACATCACAAGATCATCATGAACTTCAGGATCAATCTTTTTGATAAAAACAACATTAATTTCTGAGAAACAAGGAAATTTGGACATTTCATATTTTATAATTAAAATACGAATAAAAGTTTACAATACATATATAATGTTAGATTCTTATAGAAACAGACTTCGGTATTAAATCTTAAGGTTCTTTAAAAAAAATTTTTTTAACCCAGTAAAAAATCGACCCTACAAAATTGTAAATACAAATAGAATTTAAGTCAACCCCCAAAACCACTGCAATAGGACATACATATTCGAAGCTCTACTATAGTGTTTTACTCAACAAATCATATTAGATTTAGTTGTCGTAAATATTGTCCAACACTTAATTGAAGGCGGGGGGGGGGGGGGGCGATTTTTCTGTTGTGTAAAAATTAGACACTTTAGATGAAATCTTAAAATATTCGAATACTTCTTTATTTTAATCTTTTGCTGTGTAAATTTTCTTATTTTTTTAATGACTACTACCCCCACCCCCACCCCGCCATATGTTATGCCTCAATCTTAAAATCTTTTACGAAGTCAACAGTACTGAACACTTGCCTCCAACTCTAATCTCCTTTGCAACCTTATGTCGCAATCCATTGATATTACATAGCATGAAATATGAAATCTTATGATCTAAGTTTAAAAAGAAAAGGTTTAAACCATCAGGTTTCAATCCTATTTGAACTTAAAAACTAGAGTTTGAGGCAATTGTTCAGTGTCTATGCGTTTTTTTTTCTTTTCTTTACTCTTTGTTAAAACAAACGTGTATTTTTAAATAACTATGGTATAATGGTTTTTATATTTTAACAACAAATCTTTTTTTAAGCTTTGAAAGTGTAGTCATGGAAATAGTGTGTTCATGACTTTATTGTCATGGTAACAAAACAGCCACGATTAGTTATCATGGTATCAGAACATTCATGGTTTTGTTATCATGGTAACAGAACATTTTGTTATTGTGATATCAGAACATTAATGATTTTGTTATCATGGTATCAGAACATTCATGATTTTGTTATCATGGTATCAGAACATTAATGATTTTGTTATCATGGTATCAGAACATCCATGATTTTGTTATCATGATATCAGAACATTCATAACTTTGTTTATATGGTAGCAAAACATTCATGACTTTGTTGTCATGATATCAGAACATTAATGATTTTCTTATCATGGTATCAGAACATTAATGATTTTGTTATCATGGTATCAGAACATTAATGATTTTTTTTATTATGGTATCAGAACATTGATGATTTTGTTATCATGGTATCAGAACATTAATGATTTTGTTATCATGGTATCAGAACATTAATGATTTTGTTATCATGGTAACAGAACATCCATGATTTTGTTATCATGGTATCAGAAAATTAATGATTTTGTTGTCATGATATCAGAACATCCATGAATTTGTTATGTGTTGTGTATTTGACAGAGAATTATTTGTTGTTGTTGTTTTAGCCATGGTTTTGTATTGAAATTAACAGCCAAACTGTGTTGTGGTTGTAACGATTTCTATTACTGTTCTAATTTACCGACACATTGTTTAAAGATCTCTGATATCATTCTATTATTACCGAACATATGTATTCTTTAACGATCTCT